AAAAAAGGAGAGAAAAGAAGAAAAAAAAAGAAAAAAAAAAGGAAAAGAGCGATTCCAGAACTGAGCACTGGCCGGCACGGACTGGTAGGCGACGACTATCACCCATATTGAATCGGATCCCTTAAGAGTCTTCGGGAAACCATGAACAAAGTCCATCGTTACTCTTTCCCATTTCCATTCGGGAATAATGTTGGATTGTAGGAGTCCACCGGGTCTTTGGTGTTCGGTTTTGATTTGTTGACAAATTAGGCATTCGGATACGTATTTGGCTATATCCTTCTTCATGCCTGGCCACCAGTCCAACTTCTTCAAGTCTTGATACATCTTGGTTTCACCCGGATGGCAAGAGTAGGGCGTTTTGTGAGCTTCGTCGAGAATTAATCCCTTTACCTCTTTGTTTGCCGGAATGCAAATTCTCCCTTGAAATTTCAAGATGTTGCCATTGGTCATCGAGAAATTTGAATTTTGACCGGTTGCTAAGCCTTCTCGGATTTTGACAAGTTGATTATCATGGTCTTGAGCGGACTTGATAGTTGATTCGAGCGGCGGTTTAATGATCAAGGCGGACATGGATTTTCGGCTAAGAGCGTCGGCGACAACGTTGGCTTTACCGGGATGGTAAAGGATTTCGCAATCATAGTCCTTGACTAATTCAAGCCATCTTCTTTGCCTCATATTGAGCTCTTTTTGAGTAAAGAAGTACTTGAGACTTTTGTGGTCGGTGAAGATCGAACATTTTTCGCCGTAAAGGTAATGTCTCCAAATTTTGAGGGCGAACACGACTGCCGCAAGTTCCAAGTCGTGCGTCGGGTAATTCTTCTCGTAGTCTTTTAATTGTCTAGAGGCATAGGCAATTACATTCCCGTTTTGCATTAGGACGGCTCCGAGCCCGTGCTTGGAGGCGTCACTATAGACCACATAGTTTCCGGTTTTATCCGGTAGAGCGAGGATTGGTGCCGAGGTTAATCGCTTCTTGAGTTCTTGGAAACTAGACTCGCATTCGGGAGTCCATTGATACTTGACTTCCTTTCGGGTCAAACGAGAGAGTGGAGCGGCTATCTTGGAAAAGTTCGGAACGAACCGTCGGTAGTAGCCTGCGAGGCCGAGGAAACTTCGGATTTCTCCGACGTTACGAGGGATTGACCAATTACAAACGGCTTCAATTTTGCTTGGATCGACGGCTATGCCTTTCTTGGAAATTACGTGACCAAGAAAGTGGACTTGTCTTAACCAAAACTCACATTTGGAAAACTTCGCATAGAGTTGGTTCTCTCGGAGAGTTTGGAGCACCATTTCCAAATGATTCCGATGTTCTTCATCATTTCTTGAATACACCAAGATATCGTCGATGAATACGATCACAAATTGATCGAGGTATTTGCGAAAAACTCGATTCATGAGATCCATGAAAGCCGCTGGGGCGTTGGTTAGACCAAACGACATCACTACAAATTCGTAATGGCCGTAGCGAGTCCGAAACGCGGTTTTCAGAATATCTTCCTTCTTGATCTTCAATTGATGATATCCGGAACGGAGGTCGATTTTGGAATAGACC